GTAAAGCATTTACTGCTTTTGTGTCAGATAGAAGGACATTGAACGAGTATCTGCTTAATGGAACTAGGTCAGATGCCAGTTTGGAGAGATCGGTATTAATTTTTTATCTTTTTAAATGACACATTTGATCCTGCTTATACTCACTATCTTTATTCCCACCTGTTTAAGTGCTTGCCAGTCACCTATGGTTAAAATCACCATTTATCTGAAGAAAATTGAATTTTCTATTCATCTGTTCATCCCGTAGTACCTGTGTTTCTCTGACTAAAGTAACTCCCACGGCCCATCCAGGATTTTTCTCAGCAGATAACGACTTCCAACCACCAAAGGATGGGAGGTTGTTCTCAGCCTACCTTCTGTGTTCTCTTATGGGAAGATGCTAGCCATAAAGAACATCGTTCTTCAGTCTTGCCCAAGTTAAGAATACTCACAGCCATAAATAAGGTCCATGAGTTATGTTGAAATAAAAAGTCAGTTAGTGTGGTCACTCCTTTCACACTGACTTGCCAACCAACTTGCTTCTTGTTCACATTTACAAATAGAGAACTGAAGGAAGAAATGATAAGGTACAAAGATCTTCCTAAGCTTAGGAAAATTTTGTATTACAGAGTCACTGAATCTTACTTTGTACTGTACTGCAACAGTGAAGAAAAACTTCAGTTCCAAGTTAAAGCCAAAAGACATCAAATATGTCCCTGTGACATCACGAGGTCTCTGTGACCATCCTCTGTGACCTACATAAGGAAAAGTGGTTCTGTTTTAAAATGTTTGGACTAGTCGGAAGTTGATGTTTTGTCAAGGACTTCAGTATAGTCAGTATATATACAACACTGGATAGGGCACCTCATAAAAAAAGATGTTCTGTAAGCTAGTGTTACCTGTATACGATCAAAACAACAGTGCAGATCATTGCCAACTAATGAAGGCAAAATGCACATTGCTTCCGTGACTTAGTGCTGATTTCAGAAAACTGAGCTCACAATTTTTAATCCCCTTCTAAAAGATGGTCATATTGTCAGGAATGACATTTCACTTTTCTGTGCAGTTGCGTCAGTTTTACTATTCAGCCAAAGCATTTGATGTTCTGGAGAGACTGGACAGCAATACCGAATACTGGGAAGGCAAGAGAGGTGCTTGTGTGGGTGTCTTTCAAATGATCTTAGCTGGACAAGAAGCGAAGTGAGTATTCTGTGTTGTATCTGAATTTATTTTGCTCTTTTCTTACTTCCAGTCAGCTGTACACCAGAATCATCATCTCGGCTTTAGGTCTGCGTATCCTCTTCCAATTCTTTATTGACCTTTCAGAAAACGGACACTCTGGCCAGTGGTTCCATATGCAGTATTCAGTTTTAAGTGTATCTTCCACACGAACAGTTCTGGAATATATAGTGGAGAGTAACTGATCAGTTAATGCCATGAACTGTATGAAACCAAAATACATTAGTTGTAATACTAGGACAAGTTAAATTATAAATGTACTATATTCATGAACTGAGGGAAAAGCACCTCATTTCACGTTAATGGCATAAGAATGGAAAACGGTCCCATGATATTTTAAGGTTCACAGAACAGAACTAAGAAAACATTTACTCAGTGCTGTTGGGAGGACACAATTTGTCTAAACAATGTGAGTAGATGTGACTGTGTTTTCACTAAAATTTGCTTTCTGAAGACACTGTACATGTCAGATAAATATACTCACTTGAAAGCTTAAGGGAAATTACCTGTGTTACTGATAATTTGCTTTCGGCCCATTTCACTGAATGGGAGAATAAGACAGAGTACTGGGGCTATATTTAAGAACTGATCCCTCATGAATATTCTGTGATGCCAGATGGCCATTCTCCCCTGGCCAAAGTTGCTGTTTCATACATGACTGGTAGGTGTGTATCTTGGCTTTTACACCCTTCTTGTATTCCCCTCTCTGCTGGAGTAATCTCATTAACTACTGCACCCTTCAAGTGTCCTTTTAGCAATTACTGCAGTAGATACAGTGAAATACACATAGGTTGCCTGTTTTTCAGTATGCATACAAGTTCTTGCAGTAAACTAGCTGGTCAACTGGAGCTTCATACTGGTTTATCATATTGGTAATGTTCATTTCCATGTTATTTGTATTAATGTGTAAGGTGCTTTGGCAGTATTAAGCTAGATGTTTCCATACTGAAGACTAGCAAACAGCATTAAAGTCAAAACCAAAAAAAGCTTGCTTTATTCTGGGGAGCTGTTTTGCAAAAGTAAAGATTTATATATGAATATACACACATGCAAGCACTAAACTCCAAACTAATTACATTTTGCTGACTTTCTTGCTTTTAATTTCTCATTGCAGTGAAATACAAGGTGGGGGTTTTGTGTTCCCTGTGATCACATCTACTGTGCATTTTTACCTCTAACTGCTCTGCAGATGAATGGACCCCTCTGTCTAGGAACCGTGCTTTGCAAACTAGTTTGGATATGGGTAGCTGTTTATTGTATAAGCTGGGTCTTGCCCTCATTTAAATCTTTGCTTTTCACCTTTATAGAGAGACTCTACGGGAAGTATTGCATCTTCTGAAGAGCACTGGCAATTCTCAAGTAGAATACATTGTCCGTGTCATGAAAAAGTGGGCCAAGGAGAACAGAGTCCCTGTTTAAGTCAGTGCCACAGAATGAACTGGGTCAGTTACTGCTCTGTGTGTGGCTTCAAGATGTGGGTCCTGGTTTCTTCTGTGCATTCTGGGTATCTCCTTCCTTGCAAAACTTTAAATGATCAAGCAGATTGACCCAGCTGAGCAACAGTGTAGTGGAGTGAGATTGCAAAACATGCAGCAAGTTTGGTTTGGGGTTTTTTTTGGTTGGCTGGCTTTTAAGCCTTTACTGGTACTTTTTCTGTTGCATCAATCTCTATTCCTCATTCTAATTTTCAGGTTTTTAGTAGTAATTCCAACTGTCCACAAGTCAAAGTGCTCCTCAGATTTCTCCACACAAGTTACTGGACTGCTTTGTGGGCTTTTTTTCCAGCAAGCCTTCTGCCCTCTGGAGAAGACTTATTTGTTGAATGACTGAGAATTGTTGAATGACTCTACTCAGCAAGTGATGGAACGTGCATGTAGAGAAGATGACAGTGACTACCAAAAGCGAGTACTAGGGTATCAGATAATATGTAAACACTTATGTATATTACCTGTCTGGAGTAAAATACAAACCATATTCTGAGCACTGTCCTTTTCTGGATAAATCTCAATAACTAATACGATCATTTATTTGGCTGACTGTATTGTTCAATCTTGCTTTGAGGTTTGACACTCAAAACACTTATTCATGTTAATATAATTCATGTGAGTGATCCATTTAGTTTAGCAATCTGATGGATAAAAGAGCAGGATGTTTTGAATAATTTTCTTCAGCATTTACCACCCTCATTAGCAATATATTTCTTATACTTGGGATTTATTATACTCTCCTGTTCTTTAAAGAGAACAGTTCAGGGAATACATAATTCTAAGAAGGCATCAGTTGTAACATAGAAATGTATTATACTTTTTGTAGTGTAAAACGTGTACATTGTTTCTAAAAGGCAAATTTACATTTTGTTGATCTGTAAAATAGTGACAAAGTATTTTTTTATCTTTTTAGGGGAAACTCGGAATACTGTATTCTCTACTGTCTATGCTTTGATTAAAGCTCTGAATGGAATGCCTTGTTGGTCTGTGTTGCTTCATACTGCAAAAGTTGAAATAGTATATTAATTTTGCTGTGGAAGAGGGTAGATTTGTGACTGGTCATTAAATGCATGTTCATTAATCTGTCTAAGGTAAGCGAGTGACCTTGATCCTGATTTTATGGTAGTTTGCTGAAAATAAGGAGGCTGGGTGTATGTGGACCATACACGCATTTCTGCCATATAACATGGGCTCTTTTTTGCTTTAAGCAAAAACTGTGGGTATCATCATTCAGGTATCTAGAAGTACATTGATAGTTGTGGCTACTTGCATTTATATCTAGAACTCTGATCCATCATACTAACAATAATAGAGCCTTTCAGCATGGGCAGGGGACACGTTGCACTCATTCAAAAGCGGTGTGAAAGCAGCAGTATTTTCACTGAAAGCAGTTATAAAACAAAAGCAGTTATAAAACATGTTTCATTTGTAAAAGGCATTTTTGTTTTCCCTCCCAGTTTAATTAACTTGGAAACTGATCAGGAATACAATTACAAGTCTTGGTACAAAGCTTCGAAAAATCATGTTGGTGGCTTTGTAGCAGATGTTAAATGCATGTAATTACTCCCTTTATTGAAGCTTAACCTGCAGAAGAGCTGAAGAGCATCCAAGTCTATTGCAGACCATTTTACATGTTGGTTGAATCTTCTGAAATAAGTGTGGTGGCATTGCAGCATAAGGGCCTGGGGACTAATTTTAAATTCTCTGCCCCTGACCAATGAAAAAGTTTTTAAAAACCTCACCTTTATTCACTAGAGTCACAAAATCCTATTTGATATGCTAAATAATGTGGGGTTTAGCACAGTACCTTTTATTGACTGGTAATAAAGTTTTTGTCATGTAAGACAGGGGATTGCAGGGCTTTGCCTTCAGCAGTGATGAAATGAAAGATATATTACATATTTAGGATTGTGGTAATGTAACAGATATGTAGGTACTATTAAAATGCACAAGGAAAATCCTGAAATATTGGTGTTTATTTTACCTTAGAAATGCATTCTAAGAACATCTTCCATTGTTTAATCTGAGATCACATTCAAAGAACAGGGATGTGAATCGGAGTTGCCTTAGCTGATACAGAAAGGGAAGTTAATCAAGAATTTCTAAAGCTGTTTCTGAGGCAGAGTTAAGAAAATGTTATCACTGTCCTTTCACATATTTCCCTGAATTGTGGAAATTTAAGGAGTCAAGGTACTCTAACTAGAGCAGCTAGGAGTGAAGGTAGATGTGGAGGAAAAACAACTGCAAAAGTGAGCTATACAGAACAAGTAGGCAATGAGGAATGCATGTGCAAAGTCAGGGAAACAGATGAGTTTATTGGGTCAGGAATAAGTGAATAAAAAATTGAAACAGCATTTCACATAATGTAGGAGAAGAGAGACTAGGGCAGAAAGAAATTGCTGCATCATTAGAATTGCAAGGCAGAGTATGGGAAATACAGTTATTTCTTATACTCCCAGTAAGCATCTGAGGTACTGTGCTAGCAGTTGAATCATTGATAGTGACTGGCAGAGAAAGCTGAAGCCCAAACAGTGTGTAACTGCTTTTAGCTGGGTGCTAACCCATTCCTGACAGATAAGGAAGATGACCTTTAATTAAACTCAGTAATATCTGAAGAACATTTATGCCAATAACATCTAAGTCAATTACTCTGCAGGGGAGGGCATTTATCCTGTCTGTTGCTGCAAGTGAGTTCCAGGATGACATCTGCTTTGGCCAGCATCTGAACTGATCCAATATAGCATCTTGGATTAATTCTGGAATCCAGCATATAAATTCTAAGCCCAGTAATAGGCGGAGCCAAGTAATGTACTCAAACTGGAGGTGGCAAGTTCATTGTGAAGGAAAAGTCGTGTTACTTTTCAGCTCTGTGGACTGCAGCAGGCATTTATATTTATGTAGCTCTCTCAGCTGGAAGATTGTTCATTGATCTTCATATGAAAATTGTCTAAGGTTGAATAAGGAACTTGGCCATTAGCTAGCAAGACACAGATTAGACAATTACATATATAGCTGTTGCTACATGTAGCTTCACCACATGAGAGGTATACAAACACTGAGGAACGCATCAGGGGTTTTCCAATTGGTTTACTCTTTCACTAAATTTTCCCTGTGTTATCTCCAGAAGTAATTTCCAATCATTCTTGAGTTTCATTTCCAGAGTTCCCTCTCCCCATTTAATCTATTTATATGATCACTAGTTAAGTACATAATTGCATGAAAGTGTCACCAGTAACCACTAAAATCAGGTTACTAATCAACTACTGGATAATCTGGCCTGACCCTATGTAGTGCAAGATGGTAGATTTCATTGGCTAATCTTTGTGTTGAGTCCAATAACTATCTTGGCTTTCCATAAAAATACTTGCCAGAAAACCTGAAGGTGGCTAGTGAGAAAACTTGTTAAAAAAATCAAATTACTTTGCAATTTGTTCAAATTATTAAATTGCCTTTGCTCTTCATTCTAAATTCAGCTTGTTTGGCCTTGTCTTATAATATTTGATTCTTCCAACATCCATCTTTGCTGTTAGTCATTAAAGCCCAGCATTGTCTGGTTTGATTTGGGGTTTTGGTGGTTTGGGTTTGTTTGTTTTTTTTTTTTATCTTTTGGTACACATAAACAAGCAAGTCACCTCAATCTGTATGGAAGACAACATCCCCTGTAGGATATTTTCCAGGGTGGAAAACTGGCAACCAGTTTGTCAACAGAAAAACATGGCCGTGTAGCATTAGGCATATTTATCACCACGTGTGATGTTGGAATATGCTCTTCCATACTGCTGCTTGCTGTTCTCCTACATGTGTACTCAAAGACTGCAGTCATCCTTTTTGTCATATTATCACAGGGGGAGCTTGCATTAAATTGCTTCTTGACTGTGACATGACATCTAGTTTTTTTCCAGAGCTGGTATTTTCTAGGATACAGTCTTCCCTTCAGAAGACACAGCCTAACTTCAGCTCTAAAATACAGATTTTGTTTGAATGGGGTCATTTTTTCACCTTATGCAAAGCACTCTTAGTGACTGTCTTATTGTCACTACACTAGTCTGTTTCTCTGCAGTCTTTTATTTATATAGCTGGTTTACATCTATATCTGGATCATCAAGGGATATGTTGGATCCTCCATTCTTCCAGGACCCTACTAAAGTAAACCCCCAGAACATTCTAATAATGATGACTAATGGCTACTTCTCATCATTTGTCACTCTCCTCTTGATTCACATGTACTTTACGGATACTGTATTATCCTATTTTTTTAAATTAGTTATATGACATCAGAAATGTCTGTAATTACATTTGTATGACTACAGTATTGTATTGAGCTGAACTTAACAGAAGACCCATGTCACGGGAGCTAATACTTCCCATTCATTCTTTATTAGATAAACCTTACAGCATCACAGAAAGATTGATGGAGTCCAGTTGTTTGAGGCTGCTTGCAGAATTTGAAACAGCCCTTTTTTACCCTGTAATCACATTTAGAAGCCACAAACCAAAAGCTTACTTTCAACTTTGTAGAGTTTAAACTTTCATTTGGAGCAAATAAAGCAGGAATTCCACATCTCTAGGTAAGGGATAATTCCTAAATTCCTTATAAGTCTTGTTTAATTGATGAATTACACTAGCATCTATGTATAGATTTTAAGATAAAAATCTATATTTAGTAAGAGCTGTGACTTTTGAGAAGACACTGTGTATTCTTCAAATAAAGAAGAAACTTCAGTTCATACTTACATATTTTATTGTGCTTAATGGCTCCACATATTCTTAGTAATTGAGAGAATTTAATATAATTAATGCAGTATAATGAGTAATGGTCTTTAAAATGTTTCTACAAGGAGATCTTCAAGAGCCTGGGATTTAAGTTATTTTGACAGAAAATAGGCTATGAGATAGTTTATAGCACTTCCCAGATACACCCAAAATCTAACTGAAAAGTGGGATGCTACCTATGCTGTTGTCTCTGAGTTGCACTTTCATGGACCTAAGAACTGCGTTGCTTTTTTTGGAGTCCTCAAACCGCACTTTAAGCTGGCTCTTAGATGAGTGATGAGCCTGAGATTCTGCCATCTGTTCCTTGATCACTGTATGCAGCTTCCATGCGGTCAGAAAAAACACATACAACAATGCAAAATTAAATAATATACAATAACATATTTTAATAATACATATAATAATGTTGAGGTTTATGTCACATAGAAAAGAACCGTGCTTCCATTCTAACAGTTCCATTGTAACAATTGTAATTTTCTTTGATGATTTTGCCCTTCGTAAGCATGATGGGATCATTATGCCTGTCTTCTCTGAAGCTACCAGTAATTTTTTTCTTCCCTCACATCAGTGGGTGAGGCCATTATATGGGCAGCCATTATGTGACAAAACACAGTGTCTAACTTTGCAGAGCTGGTGAATTAATTCACATGAAGTAAATGTATCTCTGGAGTATCAGTCCATGTGTGATAGCTGTATCTAAGAAGACTTTAAAAAAAAATAAATATATATATATAAATAATAAACCAGGTCTTAGAGTGCCTGGTATATTCCCAATAATAATGATGATCATAATATTGGTATTCTGCAAGTTCAGCCTTACTTTTGCCTAACTTCTTCATGATGACACGTGTGCTGAACTTAATCATCACTGAGCAAACTGGGAAGTTATTTGTTTATATAAAACAACAGTGCTTTTCCCATCATTTAAAGGCAGAAAAGCTATTTTCAGGTCATAGCAAAGTAATTTCTGAGGCAAGCTTTACAAGACTTTCCACTTAATTTAGCTAGTTATTCCCAAACAGGTTTTATTCCCGCGTCTGCTTTCCATGTCTGTGTGTTCCCCTTCCTTACCAAGTGTTTTCCCTTCCCACCTACTTGCTAAGGTGACTGGCCTTGCAGGACTACCACAAAGTACTGCCAAAGTACTGCTGCTTTCCACATATCTCTTCCTCCCCTCACCCCACCTCTGAGCATTACTTTTGCCTCGCTTCATTTCACAGGCATTTAAGGCAAGATTCGCTCAGATCTGTAAAATATGCAAAGTCCTATGGAGGACTGGAAATCAGCATGACGGTAAGAACTCAATCTCTTAAAATGGCAAGGAAGTTATTGGATAAGTACTCAGTTAAATCTGACTGTACTATTACTTACCAATGTAAGGAGGAATTAATTCTTTTAAGGCCAGAAAAACTACATATGAAATGCACAGAAAATGTACAGAAAATGTAGCTTGTTTTCACACAAGCATTTCTGGTATGTAGCATCCCCTCTATTCTTAAAATCACCACTGCTATTGCTGCTATTATACACTCACTTTAATATGCTCAAAAATCTTCAGATTTCATAAGTCTTCTCAAAATACAACTTGAGATGGTAAGAAAACAGAGTTTAATAAAATTCCATTTGTCCATCTAAATTATTCATGTATGGAAAATAATTTTTCATAAGTAATTTTTCAGATGCTATTTTTAATGCTGTGACAACTCAAAAGCAGCTTTGTGTTGAATCTGCAAGCTCTATGTACTTAATTCTTGGTGATGAATATGTGCTTTGCTTTTTGAAGGCAATTTGGCTTGGAAATAAAATCATGGAAGTATGAAAATGCTGAAGTGTACATACAAAGTATGCTTCTGACTATTCTGGTCATAAGCTTGTATACATGTTAAAAATGTGGTAATTTGTTTATGCAATCACCCTCAGCTGTCTGTGATAATGTGCACTTATTTAGATGTGGAACTACCTGTGTAAAATGCATATGTAAAAGCAGTTTCCAAAGTGCTGAGAAGCATTGGGGTAGGGGGGGTGGGGGGCTGGGGAATGGTTAGGAAATTGGATTTTTTGTAAAATCAGTCTGGAAGTCAAAAGGGGAAACTAGAGAAAAATTAAAACAAGAAAATGTCTCCAATATCGCTGGCAAATACTACGATGTAAATCTTCATGATTCCTAGGAGGTTGCTTTGCAATCTACATGTGTCACATGTAATTCCCAAGTGTGTTGCACTGGTGAGTGACCAAAACCAGTCTGGCCTGTCTGGCCTGCAGCCTGACTGGCTCTGTTTTCATGGGCACTGAGAAAGTGTTTTGTCTTGTCCTAGGTCAGCACTCGCAAGAGAAACCCACAGCAAAAGCAAATCTATGGCACATCAGCTTTTGTATTGCAGAAAATTACTTGCAGACCCTTTTACCTCATTAAACAGCATTACTACTGCTTTTAGGGTAGAAACTGCCATTCAAGCTGAGACTTCCCTACAAGGCCAGTCCTTCTCATTCGTGCTACAGGTGGGTGGGGTACCTACTCGAAATTGTGACTCATATCCGTGTGTGCTTTTAATTACTATTGGAAGAATAAATCCAGCAGACAACTGTACAGAGATAAGATAATAACCTGACTCCAAAGTTTCAGACAGGCTGGTAATCTTCGGCTGCCTCCAGGGGTGCTAGCCTGATGGAACAGGCTTTTTCAGTGGAGATAAGCATCCCATGCTGCAAGCATCTTTAAAGAAATGGTGCAAATGAGGGAAATAGTGAGGGACAGCTCCCCAGAGCACATAATCCCTCGCAGTCTCTGTAAATATCTATGATTTTCTGCACTGTCAAATGAGCAGGTGTGAATCATAAAAGAGCTACCATTAAGGAAACCCATTCTTTCTTGAAGCAGATCCTCTTCAATTTTAAATGCAGCTTAAGTACGGTTTAAGTGACATTGTTAGTCACAAGCAGTAAGTGACAGGCAGATGCGCCTCCGTTTAAATTTCTTCAGCAGTTGATGAATTCTGGTCCCTTTACGTACATTTGTATTTTTAATAAAAAGAAGTTTTGTTTGAATGGTTTGGTTTCTTATTACCACCACTCCTCTACAAAATCTCTTCTGTGTTTATTTCTGCTGTAACCCTTCTTGCTATTCTTTGTATCTACAGCAAAATTCCAGGATTTTGGCTAAAGGGTTATTTTATCTTTGCTAATTAAGTGGTTTGAATTTTCGTGACTACTTAGAAGGTGCCGATTTTTTGTTTTCCTCTATTTCTCCTTCCTTCTTAGAAAAGTGAAGGGTAAACCTGCAAGGAGGAATTCCTTAGTGATTTTAGACCTGAAACTAATCTTCAGTGCTTGACAGAGAAAACCTCTCAGATGCTGACATCCCCAAATTAATTTCAGTCAAGGCAGAGAGTCCACCCTGCTTCGTCTAAAATTATTACTCCTGGAGAAGTTTACAAGTTACTTGTCAGCCTCAACTGAGTTTACCCCTAACATTAGGAAACCTTAAAGATGAAAGTTGAGTGCTTGCTCCAGTAAGAAATCTTGACACCAGAAGCAGAAACAATTACTACCGATTAAATAAAAGATAAGATGTAACTATAAAAGTGTTCTTACCTTGTTAGTTACAAGTGACTTTAGTATGGATATCTGAGGGAACAAATTAGCCCAGTTCTGCTTGGTAAATGCACCCGCTTAAGAGCTGATGTTTAATGTTTTAGTATCTCACCTCTCCAGGATCAACAGTTGTTCCCAACAGCAGCTTCTTCGAGCAGGTTCCTATTCCTTGGCCAAGACGTAGTTCTTTCCATTTTCTCTCACCCCTATTTCTTCCTAACCTGCTATTCCATGCAAATTAGAGTACTTGAGGCTTAGAATCTCCTCTGAAGTTTCTTTAACAATCTAACTCTACCAATTAGTTTAAAGAATGTTATGATGTTCTGCAGAGAATAAATATCACCATCACACAGGAGTTGTGTCAGGTTTGAATTTCTCATTGAGAAATTGCACATGAACAACACAGATGATAGATAAGACCCCCACCTTTGATTAAGGATCTCACACTGCCATGAGACATACACGCCTGTAAATCCCTTTACTTTTCTAGCATGAAGGCTTGCTCTGGTTTCTAGCTTATTTTTAATGTGAGATAAAAGCCAACATTTTATCAGCTATTTACCACATACCTAGTAGTGCCATTTATGCTGTCCTGTCACACAACACAGTATTGGGAAGCTACTGCTCATTTCCAAAAGCAAAAAAAAGATGCATCTAAATCCACTTGTAAGGGTAAAAAGTGTTTCCAGTTGCAGCAGCAGTAACAAACTTTGGCATAAAAATTGTTGTTACTCTTAAAGCTTCCTATTGTCATTGAAACTTTGAGCTTTTGAACAGGCTTGTTCAGAGCCTTTCTTGACCTTCTTGAAAGGAATCTAGTGTCTTATAGGCTCAAGTTTTCATTCTCCAAGAAGTAAGGTTTGATCAGTTCACAGGGAGCAACATCCAAACACATGGAATAAAGTTAACAGTCATATTTCCTCTGCCTTGAAATTGGGATAAATGAATATCATCACTTCCCTGGTAAAGCATATCCTAATTACTTGAAGCTAATGCACTTTCTAGTCCCAACATCTGGCATTTCTCTACCTGCCTACAGTCCTTCTAAACCACTGTTTACGTCACTGAATAGAGTACTTTGCACTTTTTAAAGCTGTGGCAGAACAGCTGGTAATAGCTCTAAGTACATGTGCCTGAGGAGGTTTGCAGGGCATTGGTGTTTGGCTTTGGAAAGAGGTGGGGGGTGTTATTCTTTGATTCTTGATCTAGCAAGAAGAAACTTAGTAAAACTCTAGGAGGGAAGACAAGTTCAAAAAAAAGCACACTTGGATTCAGTGAGCCTGAAACAGAAAATAGAAAACCAGCAATGCCATCCATGCTGTCAGTGCAGTGGATTCTTATGATACAGCAGCAGTTCTAGAAAAGATACACAACCACCACCCTACCTGCAGCTGTATCATCTCCTGACACAGCAGTGAAAGTCGCAGTTGCTGTGGCAGCAGCTTCCGTGAAAGGACCAAGAGGATCAACATGATTCCTGGTTGGACCATAAGAAACCAAGATACCAGAGGGATACACCAGTCAGTTCCCACTGACTGGAAGAGGGGAAATATAAGCCCAGTTTATAACAAAAGGAAAAAACTAATACCCGGGGAACTACAGGCCAGTCAGTACCAGCAAGATCATGGAGCAAATCCTCCTGAAAACAATGCTAAGGCCCATGGAAAATAAGGAGGCAATTGGTAACAGCCAACATGGTTTCACTAAGGGCAAATTATGCCTGTTAAATTTGGTGGCCTTCTATGACAGGGTTATAGCGTTGGTGGATGAGAGTGACTGACATCATCTACCTGGACTTGTGCAAAGCATTTGACACTGTCCCCCACAACATCCTTGTCTCGGAACTCTAAAGGCATGGATTTGATGGATGGACTGCTCACTAGATAAGGAATTGTCTGGATAGTTGCACTCAAAGAATTGCAGTCAGTGGCTCAAGGGGGTGGAGATAGTGACAAGCGGTGATCCTCAGGGGTTGGCACTGGGACCAGCACTGCTTAACATCTTTGTCAGCGACATTGACAGTGAGGTTGAGTGAACCCTCAGCAAGTCCTCACCACACAATGCTGTGTGGTGCAGTTGACATGCTGGAGGGAAGGGATGCCATCCAGAGGGACCTGGATAGACTTGAGAGGTGGGCCAGTGCGAACCTCATGAAGTTAAACAAGGCAAGGTGCAAGGTCCTGCACCTGGGTTGAGGCAATGTAGTAATAGGAGAAGGGGGAATGGCTTTAAACTGAAAGAGGGAAGATTTACATGAGATATTAGGAAGAAGCTCTTCACTGTGAGGATGGTGAAACACTGGAACAGGTTTCCCCAAGCTGTAGATGCTCCATCTCCGAAGTATTCAAGGCCAGGCAGGATGGAGCTTTGAGCAACCTGGTCTACTGTGAGGTGTCCCTCCCCATGGCAGGGGGTTGGAACTAGACAATCTTTAAAGTTCCTTCCAATCAGAACCATTCTATGATTCTATGATATAGTGAAGAACCAACCCATGGAAAATGAGCACACTCTAACAAAACAAAAACAAATCCAAATAACCCAAACCTGCTAGAAGTATCTCTGAGAGGCTTTTGAGATCCCACTGGCTGACTGGCACAGGCATGAGCTGGCTACCAACATAGCTGCTATCCCAGAGTAGGTCCCAGTGTTCACCTTAAGCAAAGCAGAAGACAAACTGCAATCCCAGGCCACCTAAGCCTGAGTGGTAAAATTAGCTGTTGACATAAACAGAACGTTTTGCCCCACATTCCCATCCAAGGGCAAGAGCCTCACAGGTCATGGAAGTATTCAGGCTTTGAAATAGAGAGCAAGCTCTCTGGAGATGGACACAACTCATAAGGACAGCTCTGCCTTCTGGTGGGACCTTGGGCCTGCTGCTTTGGGATGTCCAGCTCAAAGGAGGCCATACAGTCAGAACGGCTTCCACTGGGGCCAGGAGAGCAGCTGGTACTGGTCTGTAACACAACTGGGCGCAGCTCTTAATCTAACACATTGAATACTAAGAGCCCAAAAGGAAGAGTGCTAGAAGTTTGTCTCCCAGACAGAGAAGCCATCCCAAAGCAGAGCAGGAGGATCCCACCAGCACCTAACCTGCTGGCTTACTGGACTGTCTCTGTCACTTTCACAATTTGAAACCAAGTCAGGTCAAGAAACTGCCACTCACTGGTGTGGCTGCAGCATCTGTAGTTCCGAGCATCCCCTTTGTATGATCTGCTCATACTGGCTTTCACCAATTAAATAAAAAGCAACTTCAAATTCACCTCAAAATTACTCTCTTTTTGCAGTTTTTAAACTCTCAATGCGCCTCTTTCAAGGACAGTTTTGGTATTAAGTGTCCTTCAAGGTAACATACAGAAGGAAGGAATCTGTACTTTAGTTGGAGTATTTTAGCACTGTTGTATCCTGAGAAAAAGCAAAATATTTGGCAAAACATCTACTTTTTTTATTATTGTTATTACTTTATGCTCCACTGACAAGTGCAGCACATGATATTACACACAACATCTGAGACAAAGCTTAACACCAAACAATGTAAAAGATAGCAGAACAGGAAAAAAACAAAAAAAAATACAAACCTAGCTCCTCTTGAAACTGTTTGATACAGCACAAGCCTGAAACTCATCTGGCATATTCAAAACTAAATTCCTGGAGAAATGAAGATCTAGCGGATTTGGCTTGTGTCTTGGAAGTCTTTCCTGAGTGCTTCTAGTATGTTGGACCAAATGTAATGACAACATATCCTAGTAACTGCTGTGCTTGGGTCTGCTGCCAAGTTTCTTTCTGAATTTGTTCAGCTACTCAGATCCAGAGCAAACCATCTTTGGTAACTTCACTTCAGATTCAAAGATCCACAACTACTGTTCTAGTTGCAAAAACAAACATGGAGTCTCATAAAAAAAAGTGTGCTCCAAAATGCTCAGAGGTTAGATAACATAAATGTGAGGGCTTATTTGTCTAACTAAGCTGCCAGAAGAGAGGTAGAGGGGGTATATAAACAAACCAGTAAATATCTACAAAACCTTAGATATGAACGGCTGCTTCTACTATCAAAGTCTGCAATCTCATAATTTAGAGCAAATGGCCACCTGAAACTGTTTCCAAGAACTGGTTTTCTCTGTAGTCCTATCACAGGTCTGCTGAGTTATTGCTATCCAGCTTATTTTTTTCCTACTTAAAAAGTGTGTTAGAAATCTGACCTGGATGTGCTTCCAGATGTATCTACACTACAACCAAGATAATTTAAAATACTGAATTCAGATACTTGCAATCTTAATTTCCTTAATTTTCAGTAACCTGTTATATATTCATTACTTCTGAATACATGTCTTAGGGGACTGAAAGACAGGAGTTTGAAGTTGTATACTTAAAATGCACAGCTTATTTTCATCCCTTTCCATGCATATGTCCAAGCATTATCTGCAGAAACAAAAACTGTTGTACTTATTTCAATGTCTAGTCTCCCACTTGATAATTGAAAACAAGCATTTAGCAGAGCTGCAGAAGAGCCCGTGACTTCTACACAAGACTTTTGACCGCTGAGCAATAAACTGTTCTTTTGCTGAGGAAAAGCCTCTTTCTACTATCACAGGGTTTAATGATATAGACTGTATAGAAACTTTGATGAGAACTGGTATCTTCCTAGCAGGATCTGCAGGTCTGGAGCTTAGCGATACTCGGTTTGAATCCAGAAATACATTGCCTGTTAAGTGCATCATCAGAAAGCTTTATGATATTCTCACCAGGAGAACAAGTGGGATTTCTAAATAATTTTATTATGATGCTGAAAGTAAAAATACATTTGAGGAATACCTCTTCCAAGCTTGCTAGTCATACTAGAACATGCAGGGTTTTAAGATAAAACAAGTCCCTTTGACTATAAAGCTCAACAAAGCCTTTCAAGCTTCAGAAAGAGACAGCCCATGACTGTCAGATCAGCCAATCATTCCACTGACTTCCTGCTGTAAGCAGTATTCTGGAATGTCCTCCATTCCCTGTTAGCAAAATCGTAACTTTCAATAACACAGTTTTAGTGTCATGGATCCTCTCTGGAGTCTACATGAAAGTAAGGAGTCAAGTTAAAAGACTTCACATGCAATGAGAACATCAAGCTCTGTAATGAATGCAGTTTGGGAAGTGCAGTAATGTGCTGTACAGAATGGCCTGCTAGAATTATCCCAAATAATATACATATGTAAATTACATTTGTGCTGCATGAGTACATTTTGAAAACAAGAACAACTCTCCTATGTAGTATTTCTGAGGCTAAAAAAGAACAAGAAATAACATCTTTCTCTCTGCTCCAACAAAGCTGGAGAACGCAATGCACATGAAGATGTTCATAGCTTCCTGAAACTTGGCAGTGCATTGGTGGAATACCTCCATCTGGAAGTACCAGCCATCAGGCTGTCAAAGTAGGTGGTGACAGACTGCAACACTTGTACTGTTTGTAGGCAGCTCCTGCTGCTCATACCCTGCCTTCCTTGCGTTGTGCCCAGCCTAGAGGCCAACTCTTCCCCTCACCAATCCACAGCTTCTCTTTGCAAGCAGAGCTGGTGTCCTGCAGAACAGGCATAGCTGCAGAACACGCAACCTCTGAAGATGGTCTGGTGGCCAGAGCAGCCTGTGCTGCTCTGCAGGAGCTAGCTGGGCTCAACACTTTACAGAGGGGCCATTTTGTCAAACCTGCGTCTTCCCAACCGATCCAGCAGGGCTTCACAGAGTGTGTCTTGACACCCCTGGGACGAGATGCGTTCACACCATCACCCTCACAGCCAGGAAACAGTTGGTCCCCCCCCCCCCCAGCTTCACTCTCGATCCTGTTCAGGATTTAGGGCTGCTTTTCTCTCGTGACTGACCTATAGCTGCTCAATTCCAGAGGCCTCAGAGCACCCTCCCCTGACCAGGCCCGCGGCCCCCACGGCGGTCCCACTGTGCCCCGAGAACACGAGCTTTGCACAGCCCTGTCAATACCCGCAGCGCACTCCCCGCCGCCCCGTCGGAACGAAGCGGCCGGGCCCGCGGCTGCCCCTTCCTCCCCTCCCGCCCCAACGGGGCCGCGCGGCGCCTCAGGGGAGGAGGGATCCCCGCCGAGGCCGCTCCCCTGGCGCCAACGGTCACCCTCGGCCAGCCGCGAGGCGCGGTTGGGGGGGGGCAGGCGGGAAGGCGGCGGCGCGTCCGCCACTGCCCCGCCACGGCGTGCCGGCGGGCAGGGCTGCCCGGCTCGGCTCGGGGCGGGCTGGTGGCAGTCGGCGCCGCGGGCCCTTTAAGACGCGGCCGGCAGGCAGCGTGCACATCGCCAAGGCAACTGGGGGCGGGCGCCGGCGGCCGCGCTGACGTCGGGGGGAAGCTGAGCAATAACAACAGCGACGCGGGGCGGCGCGTCAGCGTCGGCGGTCCCAGTGCGCCTGCGCGGCCTGCGGGCCTGCTTCTATTTATGTGGGGGGGCGCCAAGATGGCGGGGTCGGAGGCGGCGAGGAGAACGTAGGGGGCAGCTCCGACCGGGCGGCGGAGGGGGGAGGGCGGAGGGAGGAGGAGCCGGGGCCGGTGGGAGGGAGCGCGGAGAGCGGTGTCACCGAACGCGTGAGGCGGGGGCCGGCGAACGGCAGGCGGGGGGCGGGGGGGGGTGGCGGAGGATGGCGGAGCCGCGCCGGGTGCCGTTCATTAGTCTGTCACCGGTGAGGCGCCGCGAGGGCGAGAGCCCGGCGCTGGAGCGGGAGCCGGCAGGCCGCGAGCCGGAGCCGCCGCCGGCGGGCCGCGAGGCGCCGCTGTTGGAGCCGCCGCACGAGCTCTCCCGGCCGGAGCCGCTGCCGCCGCCCCGCGAGAGCGCCGCGCGCCTGGAGCCACCCCGCGAGACCGGCCGGGCCGAGCAGCAGCCGCAGCGGGAGCCCCCCCGGCCCGAGCCGCCGCCGCTGCCGCCGCCGCAGCTACCGCTGCCGCCGCCGCGGCAGAGCAGCCGGCAGGAGCCGCCGCCGCCGCAGGAGGCGCTCCCGCTCCGCCAGACGGTCCGCCTGGAGGTGGTGCTGAAGGACCCCACCGAGGAGGGCTGCGTGGAGTTCAGCTACCCGGAGCTGCTGCTGTGCGGAGACTCGCGGGTACGGGACCTCCCATTTCCCTCCCTTTCCCCCTCCCTTCCCATTGCGCTTCCTCCTCCTCCCGGCGGGTGGCTGCCCACGTCCCCGGCCTCGCCGATAACACTATCTGTCTGCCGCCCCTTGCTGCCCGGGGGTGGTCCCGACCCGGCGGGGCGGTGTCCTGGGGGGAAGTCCGGCGGCCTCGCAGTCGTTCTGAGCTCGTGCCCATGGGCGGAAAGGGAGGCTTCGCACTTGTCGTCCCTGAGTTGGCTGAGGGCTCCTGGCTTTGGCTGTGAGCATGGGCGGGGGAGTGCCAGTACCTTGTGCCCAGCTTTCCCCAGCTCTCGTTCCCTCCCCTTGCCCGCCCGGGGAGCGGTAGTGTTGCATCCTCCCTTTCTGGGAGCCTTTTCCGGCAGCTGGGCGAAACTTTTTAGCATGCCGGTCTGTTTTCCGGGTTGTCTATAGGCTGTGTGCAGGTAAATGGAGAGTTATAAGCCCGGCTCTGCTATAAGGCTGGGAAGCAATGAACTGAGCATTAGCAGACTTGGAGATGAGTTTCTGCAGGGTGTTTTTTTGGGAGGGGTGATGGTGGTGAATGAGGGTTAATGTTGAAATAACTTCGCCTGTAACTCTTAAGAACTTCGTTCAAGAAAAAAGTACTTTCACTTTTACTCTTTCTCCCAACCAGAAAATATTTGGTACTCGAACTACTTCGGTTTTTCAGAAGATCTTGTCTAGATAACTTCAAGAAGTAAGCAGCATTAGCCAGTCAGCAGGACCCCCTGTTCAAGTAGGAAGGAGAAATGTGTGTCCTTAAGCTGGTCACACTTAAATCACTCATCCTTAGTGAGTTACGAGTACCAGTGAAGTTGCACTTGACTCAGATAGTTGTAGTCCCTCTTAATTCCAGTACATGAGTTCAGAGGAGGTTTCAGGGGACAAGGAAGTAACTACTATTATGAAGGCTTTGATAGCTCTGGTGATAAAAGCAAACCTCAAATATGAGTACTGATATTGCCACTATTTTTGCATCCAGCACAAACTTGAGAATGGCTGAAACTTCTAATTTACTGAACCAAAGTGTTTCTAGGTGGTGATGCTGTATAACTCTACGTAGCAGCCTGCTTGCTTTTGGTTTGTTAGTTGGAGGGGTGTATGCACTGGATTGTGTTCAGATGTGGAAAACAGAAAAGTCGATGATTGTGATTTTAATTCCTCTGAGATCTAATGCGAGTTAGAAGGTTCCTTCTGTTCATCCTGTCCTACAGCTATTGCGGGCAAACGGTGCCACTTACGACTCCTCTGAATTGGTGTGGCATAAGCATGCTGCCTTGTCAAGTGCCATCTTTCAAAGCAGTTTGCTTATGAAAACTTGTGTTAGTGTTTAGAAGTGGTTCAGTGTGTGGAGGTTGACTTTTCCTTTTGGCAGTTCTGTGACTGCCTTTTTTTCTTTTTCCTGTTAATCACACATAGTCATGGAAAAAATGGCTTTTGAATGTTGTTTTGGATGTAAATTCCGTGTCTTCTGGGGACAAGGACTTATTTATGGGATTTTTGGTACAGTTGGGACCAGAGGATATATAGGATTGGAGACTTCTTGTAAGGTAGAAACAGTCGTAGAAATGCTTTATAAGAAGTTGTGGGTTTTTTTCATCTCTCTCTAGAGTCCAAATTTAAATGAATAGATCATAATGGTCTGTCTTGCTGAGCTACGTGGAACAATCAGTTGATTATGTAAAACAGTGTTATAAATTGTGATCCTCTTACAGAGATTCTGGACTTGTGTTCTTGTAGAAAAACTGATATGTATTTGGCCTGTCAGTTTACATTCTTGTTTGCTATATGGTAGGAGCTGGAAAACCTACTCTGATATGGTAGGGAGGGCTTAAAATCTTGTCTTAATCAGCATGAAAAGTGAGGGCAAGCACATTTTATCCAGAAGTAAAATTATTGCATGCTGATTCCTTCCCAGTTAGAGCAAATACAAGAGGAGAATTTGCTCTGCACAGTGCAGGAGGCTTAGCATGACAGAAGTGTGTCTTCTACCCATGTATGTTAATTGTTCAAAGTCCTAAAATAGAAAAAAAATTGTGAAAGGAAAACTGATCCTGCTTGTGGAGTAGGATAGCTACGGTAATTTATACCAGTTAATGCCGCAGAGAAAACTACTTTTTTAAAATGAAGCTTGACCAAGAAGTGCCAGCCCTTTACACTTTTCTGTAGAATCTGTAAGATTTGCTCTTTCTAAGTATGCAGTAACTAATGGGCAGTTAATGCTGTGGTTTTCAGTGGAGTGTTAGATTTCCTTTTTTTTGTTTTTTGTTTTGTTTTTAGTAATGATTCAGTTTAAAATGAGCAGTTCATACAAACTTAGCTATGCAGACTGGTTTTGTAGGGTGAAGATTGACTGGCTTTTCAGAGAGCTTTTGCAGGCTTCTTAATCCCTTGAAGAAGTTGCTTGACTTGCTTATATCTATTCCCATTAAAGTTCAATGTTACAAAATTGGGAACTTGTCTTTCTATCTTGTGTTGCTTGGAACTGGAACAACCAAGAAAGTTTTTCTATAGGCAGGCAGTTCTGGGAAGGCAAAGGCTGATGCACAGGAGTAACTTCAAACATGGCTTTAATAGGTCTTTTAATAAATGGTAAAGAATCCCAAAACTTACTTGACAGGAGGAGTGCAGGTTTTTTTGTTTTGTGTTTTTTTTTTGTTGTTGTTGTTTGTTTTTTTTTTTCTTATTTGTTTAATTACAAATTTGGGTTCATAGCCTGAATCAGAAGCAAGCGGAAATGTTTGTTAGAATCTCATGCTGTCTTTGTCCTGCTTTTTTGCCTTGATCAAGAGACTGTCCTTTGATAGGGGTGTTGGCAGAGTTCATCTTTTGGTTGGAATTATGCGTGTAGAGCTTTTGCATGCGAGTAATAAGTTGGTGTGGATGAAGAGTTTGTCTCTTTAAAAACTGGCAGAAGTGAAAGTGTGCTGCCTTTTCTGTTGGTGCAATAGAAGCTTGGTGTGTAAAACTTAAAGCAAGTGAGCCAGAAACCCAAGACGGCTTCAGTCAAGTTAGGGTATGAAGGCACTGAAGTAATGTCATAAAGTTACTGCAAAGTCAGAGTCATTCATCCTGCAGAAACTGTCAAAACTAAAACTTCCTTGAATTTGAGATTTCAGTAGTGCTTACTTAATCCAACTGGTAGTCAGCTACAACTTTGAGTGTGGTGGAGAGGCTTAAATTACCAGATTTTGTCCTATTTCACAATTAAACAAAATCAAACATTTGCCTAGTAGTATTCCCAAATAAAGGTAGAGAAAGCAGTGCTGCATGTATTGAGTGGTATTTTATATTTAAGTATGCCTGCAGGAAATATGTATGTAACTTCAACTTATGTTTCAGGATTAACCTACTGATTTTTCTTTAAGTTATTAATTTAGAAAATGTAAGATAATTATGTGGTGTTTTCAGTTTTGCTTAGCTTACCTTCCTCATTACATTTGTCTCAATACTGGTGGGCTAATTTGCCGTTATTTGGTCACCATTTAGTCAATGTACTGGCTTTTGATAGTGTGGAAGAAGGATCTTGCTTTTCTGAACTTGGTGCTGCTTTTTTATTCTTAGTCTGCCATAAAGCTTCATTTATTCACTTATGAGTGGTCCATGTGCCTTATAGTTGCTATCCATAAAGTTCTGTAAAATGGAACTCCAGTCCATTGTCTTTTAGCATCTTAGTGCCTCCTTCAGCTCCCCTTCCAACAATTGCTCGATGTTATTTGAATTCTTAAATTGAAGATAGCAGCCTGTTTTTCTGCTATACCTTATTTATTAAAAAATACCCAAAACACTATGTATATGCTTGATTACTGTATATTGACTTCATGTTAATGAAAACCTCATTCTCAAAGAAAAAAAAGGGAGGGGGGATGTACTTCCTGCTTTTTTGTACAGCTGGAATATTAAATCTCTCTTGTCATAGCTGCCATAGCGCCAGTAGAATTTGTGCTATGATTAGTGAAATTATCTGAAGAAAAGATAGCAATACAAGAATTAAAGGAATTAATTTATGGTTGCAACTTACTGAGCTTTATAGCCTTTTGGCTGCTTCCCTGCTAATTAGTGTACCAGGTACCTCCTGCATATTGTGTCTGGAAGGATCACAGCACCAATAAGAGGCACCAGTGAAAGCAGAAGCAAAAGGTAGTTCTATTTAGAGAGGGTTCTTTCTCTTAAACATCAAATGGCAATAGTTCTCTTATGCTTACACTTAAAATTGAGGTTGTAGTGGAATGCTTGGGAAAATGTAGTCTTGTCTTTCACTTAACTTTTCTGTTTGTGTTCTCATTAGAAGCAAAGTAACTGAATTGTAACTGAATAGGTCAAGCTAATTTTTAGAGAATAAAATAAGTATTTGGACTCAGTATAAAATCCAACTATTTAGTTATCAGGGCATTGTTTATTGACATAGAATGCCTCTAATAAAAACCCTACTAAAAGTGTTTCTTATGGAATGATATTTGACTTCTGCTTTTTTTCAGAAGAAATCTGTTCACTTGGAAGATCCATTTAATGATGAACAGCGTGAGCGGCATGAAGTAGAAATGCTAGCCAAGAAGTTTGAGGCAAAATATGTGAGTTATGTACCTGAATTAAAATGTGCAAATACTTAATAGTGATAACTTACGATGCTGTAGAGATGTTAACACCTTTTTTTTCTTTTTTCCTGAGTAAGGCTGCTAATGTAGTGTCAAATAACTTCTCTATACTTCAGAGCCGACAGTCTCATGATATTTCATTTAAGCAGCTTGAACCTGCTACAAGCTTATTAGACAAGTCTGCTAAATAGATTTGTCTATAGAACGTTATAGCTTGAGAAGCTCTTCTTCGAAGAACTTCCTATGTAAACACAACTGAGTAATAGACGCAGGTTGATTATTAATGATAAATACTGTGCTGAAGGAAAGAAATTTTATGTAATACTGTTGTGCACTCTTGAACAGCTCTTCTGTTTGGGCAGAATACTGATGGACCTTGGTGAATTTCTGACTAGTTTGGAATGTTTCCATAGGAAGTTATTGTTGAATAATAAGTCATTGCTTGATGAGTTTATCTTGTAGCTTCCAGCTGCCTAAAGATACTCTGCTGACTCCTGAAAGTGTAGCATGAATGACTTGAACAACACTAGGTAGTAACATAAAGAGGCTTTCAGTAATAAATGAAGGTAGAAATCAGAAAATGTTGACTGAAACCGCACCCAAACAGGTCTTTAAGAATTCATATGGGTAGGGTTGGGTGATTAATTCTGAGCTGGCAATCAAAACTCATCATCATGCTTAGGCATGTTGATATTCTGGATTACTAATAGAGTACTTCAGTAATAAAGAAGGGAAACGAGCAGTCATTTGTATCTTTTGCTGTTAATATACATACTAAAATCTTTCTTGTCTGGTTTATTCAAGGTTTTTTTTGGTGGTTCGTGGATTTTTTTTTTTTTTCTTTCTAGCAAAGTCACATTTCTCTGAGTGCCAAGCCTATGCATTCTGTAGAAGTAATTACTGTGATACATAACAAAAGAAACCCTTAAACTGAAAGGAATCATTTTGGTCTTCTAGAGGGATTAGTGGAACCCAGTATACCCAGTGAATTGAGAAGGCAGTTCCAGAATCCTCTTTTTTTTTTTTTTTAATTTGAAAGATAAATTAGTTTTTTGAATGTGAGAAAAAAATTGTTTCAACTGTTTTTTTCTAGGAGACTCATTTCCATAATACAAGTTAGAGATTTTATAATGCCCAAAAACAAGTTGCTTAACTACAGCAGATTAAAGTTAGTGTAGAGCACGTAAAGCAATGTAAGTAGGAGGGAGTGGTAGTGGAAGCAATTTAATTTTACATATGCATTTATGCATACATCAAAGCTAAACATGTACATTTATGGACAAAACATGTTGTTACGCTTAGAAAAAACAGAGTTAAATGCCCAATAGTCATAAAAAGGGGCAAATAGATACTTTTAACTATTAGAAAGCAGTAGGTAACAAACTTGTAAGATTAAAGTTCACAGTGCTCTTGTATCTTGATTACTATTTGCACTTCTGATTTCTTGCATTTCTCTCATTCTCTGCCATACTTTCTCTCATCCTCTGCTATGCCCCCCTCAGCCCCACAAAATTCCTGGAAGAGGAATGTCTTCTGCAGAAAGAACTACTTCTGTTAGGGCCAATAAGCGTTGAGGGTGGTGAGTGATTAATAGTTCTTGTGTTAGATATTCCCTGCGCTGTTTCTCTTCGAATAAGAGAACCATCAATCTATTTACCATCCATGCTCAGAGAAATTGCATCTTTGTACGCTGACCCAGTACAATTGCTCATGTTCTGACAGCATCCAGCCATCTTCTCGTTCTTGTGGTGAGCCGTTCACACCTTAGCTTAAACTAGAACAAATTAAATACCCTTTCTCTCTCTTTAATAGTGTTTTAGTGTAAAAATAACCACTAGTTGTATGAAAGAGAAGTAGAGGTTTTTTGGTTTTGTTTTGGATTTTTTTTTCTGTTTTGTTTTGTTGTTGTTGGGTTGGGTTTTTTTTTGTTGGTTTTATCAGCTTTGCAAGAATTACCATATCCTACTTAAACTAATTAGGTATTGCTATCTATATCTGTATTAAAATGAAGTAAAAGAATCTCAGCACATGTGGCAATACTTATGAAAAATTTGATGCATGAAGAACAGTATTCTTTGAAAACTTTTTCTTTCTTTTCAGACAAATTCCTGTACTCATAATCAAATCGGTACAGTATTTGATATGTCTTGCAGGTACTAAGAAAGCCTGTGAATAAATATATTTTCATAAAGTAAGATGCAATAAAGTTAATGTACTGTTTGTTTACTTGATCAGAACTTTTCTCCAATTGCTGTGTGTTTTACACATCAGCATAAAACTCTGTTTGGAATGGTTCCAGTTTTTGTTCTTTTGATGACTGTTGCTTTCTAGACTAAATCAAACACTGTTGTAAAAACAGTATGTTGAATCTCGGACAATATTGTACCTAATGTAAGAATTTTTATTGGGTCAAAACAAAGGTCCATGTAATGGATGGTAGAACAATCATCAGACACTAGTGGCATCCCATACTTCGAAGTGTAAAAGAGTAAGTGTTATTACACTTACCAGAGTAATTTGATGTTACTTCACTGTGCCCGTCTGGCAATCTGTGGCTTAATTTCTCCCAAAGTCAAAGGTTGCATGTTTAACTACCTTTCTTACAGCTTTCTGCCATAAATTTGCCAGATCATTTTGAGTTCACTGAATCTGTGTTCTGTAGCACTGATTACATGATTGTTGTGTGAAAACATACTTTGTATCTAAACATGGTGAGTTTGCTTGGTGCTCCATAGTTTCTGTATTGTAAGAAACAGTGAAATATTTCCTGTTCTTCCACATGCTGCATATGGTTCTGCTGCTGTCATCTAAATTCAGTCCTTTCATTCCCCAGCTGAAGTGTCTTTAACATTGTTATTGTACAGAAGCACTGTTTTCTACTTTTAAACATCCTTGTTGGCTTACTGTTCCCTTTTTTGTTCCAATTTCTGTTTCTAAATTAAAGCATATTAATGGTAGGATGCCCTGATTTACTGATGATATAATGATGACTTCTGATTTTTTTTCCTCTGTCCTTTTTTTTATAAGTCCCAGGTTTTGTGTTTTTTTTTTGTATTTTTTTTTTTTTTTGACCACTGTTGATTGTTGAGCAAATGTCACAGAACTGTGTGTAACAACTCCAGTGCTTCCTGAGCAGAATAAGAAATTGTGAGCACACCATATTTATTCTTGTTTGGGTTGTACTTCTTTTGTGTCAACGACTTTTATTGATAATGAATTCAGTTGATGATTTATCATATTAAGAACAACCGCGTGGTCTGTCTGTGATTATTTAGTTGTCTTCGTATATTTACTGTCATCAGCAATTTTGACATCTCATGCCCAAACCATTCTGTAATTTCTCCAACTCTTAGCCCTCTCTGTTGCTTCTAAAGATGAATGAATATACATCCCTAGGTGACTTGACTGATTACTTTCGTTGCCAAAATGAAATACTTATTCAGCCTTAAACTGGAAGTTAATTTGAGTGGACCTTCCCTCTTATCACTTGATAGTTTTTTGACTTTATAGATATTTGGACCCTTTTTCAAGTATCTGAAGTACTGCTTGCTTCTACCAAAATTCTTCCCTGCTCTGGAATGTATATTTCTTGTGCTTGCTGGTTTTGTTGTTTATAACTTCTGTTGACTTGCCCAATGTAGAAATCAGGTTTACTGGTTTATAGACTGTTTTTTGTCCTTGGGAGATTTCACAGAAGTTGGCGTTGTATTTACCACCATCTAGTCCTGTTAATTTATTGCAGTCATATTGAGTTTTTTGAAAACTTGCATGAGTACTGTTTGCAGCCTCAGGAGCTAGGCATCTTGATTCGCTCTAATATCATGACTGCTTATGTTGTGGGACCAGGTTGGAGGAACTGTTTTGAGAAACGTGAAAAGCTTCAGTGGTAAAATATCCCTGAACTGGTGCATAGTAAACACTGATGCAGTTGATGATATAGTTCTGCTGTTGTCGTGCATCCTTAACATCTTGATCACATGGACTTTCAAAATTCTTCCTTAAAAATAAGCGGACCAGGCCTGAAGAAAATTCTCTGCCTATACATGAAGCGGTTCAGATATTTTCATATGTCTGAATATAGGTTACTATTTTAATCCTGCTTTTCTTCATTCTGGTATTATGAACTTCTTTTTCATTAACTTTGTTCCATATCCACACTATGTTTTTATGAATAACAGGCAGTCAGAATGTATTGAGAGTTTTTTAATATTTTTTGTAATGCCCATACACTGAAATAATTGGATAGCTGTTTCTGCAACAGGATTTTGGACTGGCAAACAAGGATATTGGTGGCTACTTGGTCTTAACAAGAGATGTGGTATTGAGGTGGACTGCATTACACACTGGTGATATCAGTAAAGTACAGTTTACGTAGCATTCTTCAGACAACCTGCTAGTGCCTTGGTTAGGATCATGAGAATTACGTAAGCTTTTGCATGGGTTAAACAGAACTCTTAAGTGCTACCTTTATTTTTCCTAAGATTTTTTTTTTTTCTTCTCTCATTCAAACTCTTTTCTATGGCATGTTTTGGGAATATGCAGACATTCACCTGTGACATGAGTGACTGTAGGGGGATGATAGGAAGTTAGGAATACTTAGCTTGGAAATCTGAGGCTTGAAATATAGCTTGGAAACCTGAATTAAAAATGGCACTTAGTTTTGATTCTCCCCTCCCACTCCTCCCAGGGCTGTTGTGTTTATTTGTGTAATTATACCTGAGAGATTCTTCTTTGCAAGAGCACATGCTTTACTTAGTTACAAACTTGAATTCTTGCAAAATATTGTTAAAGTGGAGGTGTTCAGATGCTTAGGCTTTTCATGAGACCAAGGATGAAACCTTCTTTGAACAGTGTCTACATATACATAGTAACAAGCAAGTTATGATATTTGGATGTCACAACTGAAAAGACTCAGATTTTAAATGTGCTTAACTGTAGAGTACAGGCAGAGAAGCTTCAGGAGCAGTCTTTTTGAATTCATTGAAGATAACTAGTTAGCATTTTAGTAAATGTGGTGCCTTTTGTGGAATTTTATCTTTTAAGACTTTGACAGTTGTAACATTATGTGGGAGTCAGAAATGTAGGTCTTATATCCTAAGTAGATTGCCATTTGTATAACTGAGTTTAGATTCCCTGAATATTTGAGCTGGGTGTGAGTTTTTACTTGATTTAACAATAAAACTTTCACATGAGAAAAGTACTTACATGTTAAATTGAAGTTTATTGTGTCCTGGAGGCGAGTGAGCCTGCAGTCTGTGATGCACCTTCTGGCTTTGAGTTACTCAAGTAACCATGTCATGTCCAGTCCTATCAACTGAGGTGATGGATCTTGCATTTCAGGATTTTATCTTAACACATTTTCCTTCAGTTATGTCATATGATTGCTGTAATTTCTTGAAAACTCATAGACACCATATCTGCAAGTACCAGATCAATATTGTTTTATTTGTGACTTGGGCTTCACTCTCCTGTAGAGAAGCAGTTTATTTTGTGTGGGGAAAGACTTTACTGAATGCACGGCTATTAGTATTTTCCTTTGTAACAACTCTGTAATATCCTGAAAAACTTAACACTTTCTAAATTATCCCAGCCCTTCTATCACTAACAGTTCTATCACTGTGCTTTAAAAACATAAAACAGTGAAACATCTCTAAATAGGAAATGTTAGGAAAATTTCAGTAATGCAGAAATCAGGTGGCTAGTTGAATACCTTTTAGGGATGATTCTGGTGAGGCACGTTTACCAGAACTCATTCCTGTGTGAAAGTTTTTATTAAGTCATATAGACCATCTTCAAGAAAGCAAAACTAATAATTCCCTGAATGACCATCCCTCAAATATTTTATGTTCTGTAGTCTTTTGTATGTTGTTTCCATGTTTCCTAAATTATCTAACTCTTGTTTTGTTTTCAGGGTGGAAAGCCCCACAGACATCGGAAGGATCGCCTGCAGGATCTAATTGATATAGGTTATGGTTACGATGAAACAGACCCTTTCATTGATAATTCTGAAGCGGTAAGTAAGCCTCATCAAAGCAGCAAGAAGAAATAAGAGAGTGCTTTACTCTTTTTAATAAAGAAAGGTATGGGAAAAATTGTGCCAGTGTATAACTAATAGATCCAAAAGGCACCCTGTTTGGGAATCCAACGAGTGATTGTATTTGTAGTCTCATTCAAATATCATTATGCACTGCAATAATAAAGAAGGCCATTGGTAGGCTGCATAATTTTCCAGCTTTAGAAATTATTTGTGCCCTTCATTTACCCTGGTCTGAAATTACACTGGCTCTGTTTAGTTTCTTGTACCAGCTATCTGGATTGTTAGTAGATTACTGGTGTTAGATTTCCTGCATTAGATCAGGAGGGTATTCTGCTCTTAAAACCAACTAAGAACAGGATGGTTATTCTAAACATTCACCGAGTGTCTGAAAAATTTGAGATAAAACAGCTTGGTTAAACAGCACAACACTACAGCTTATTTTGTCTGAATATTTGCAGAAACGAAAGTACATCTCGAGGTAAAAGAAAAAGATAATGGGTTCAGGCAATATCAGGCATATCAGGAGGTTTAGAAGAGGCATTTGAAGATGTGTTAGGGATAGTATATGAACTTGTGAGAATGAGGAAGAAGCTTGGGAGAGAGAATGGATGATTTAAAATCTTGGAGACCTCCTATAATTCTCCTTTATTGGATACCAGGAAGAAGGTATGCTGTTTAGTCAAGTAAAAACAAACATCATCCCCTAGAAAAAAAACATCTGCTACTTACCCAGCTTTCAGTTTCCTCCACTGCTTGCAGATACGAGTTACACTGGACAAAACAGCAGTGATCTGCTGCTCTGAAAAGGAGGAGGCTGAAAGTCTGAATGCGAATGGAAAGACGATGAAAAGGAGTTGTGAGGAAACAGGAAGAAAAACAGTAGAAGTAAAGTGCATTGCTTAGCATGCATTGTGTTGCACCTCCACTTGGATGTAATAGTAGACTTAGGAAATCATACAACTTTAAAGAGCTTCATTGAACACTGATCTGTGAGGTATCTAGCATATAGATGTAGCAAATACTGCTTTTCAGAACTGTGGGTGGTGCACAGAAGGCATGCTGCAGAACTCACACCTTCTTAGCAAAAGAAGTTACACAGTGGATAGCAGGCTGAGCTTATCTCTGTTAGTTTTTGAAGTAGGTCTCAAAGGCATATGAACAAGTTTCATGAAAAGTGAGTTTGCTGTATGTGCTTATTGTAGCTTGTATTAATTTGTCCTTTTTCTTGGTCTACATTAAAATTTTAGTTGAGCTTGCCAATATTAAAAGTGTCCTATTGTTATCCCTCAAATTCTTTTGTGCTGCTGGAACAGTATTGGGGCATAAGCCTTTGTATGTCCTTTCCAAAGGTCAGATTCTGATCTTCAGCTCAGTATGAACGAAGGTTCTTCACTCCTGCTGAGAAACAACTTGAGCCTATAGGCTTACTGGGTGTCACTGTTGCTTAAGTTAACCATCCTTGGTTTTGAAATTTTATCATACAGAACCCAAGTTATAGCTTGGTTTTTCTGGATTTATTGTGACCTATCACAGATCTGATACGTGATTTGGATAACTTTCAGTACTCAACAGTACAGGTGTCTATCAGTGTGGGAGTCTAGCAGGGTGGAACACTCACAAGTGTATTAGTATTTCTCATGTTGTGTCTCCTTACAGTGCTGCTGCTGTTACTAGCAGCAGATCCATTAGATTTATGGGAGCATTTATTTCTGATATCTTTTGCCAGACTCCTTGCAGGAACATACAAAAGGCAGTTGTTAGGGGACCAGATGGTTGCATCATGTGGTAGCTGTGGAAGCTACTGGGGAGAATGGTGTATTCTCTAAAGATTGCTCTCCTGAACAAATCATTATGCCTTGTGTCTGCATTACAAATACAGACTAGAGAGAGGCCATCTCTTATTTTGCTTTCACCCCCATTTCTATATAGAAAAGAAAAAAAAAAATAAAACGCACTGTGTGCCAGCTGCAGTTTATGGTGCAAAGCTTAAGGATCCTGTAATGTAGGAGTTAAGTTCAACAAAACCTCTCATTCCATCTCAGATGCAAATAGGAAGTGTTCAGAAAGATCTACGTGTCTGGCTTGCTCATCTTCTGTGTGGCCAGCTATTAAATCACAGTGTACCCTGAGAAATGGAAGAGCCAGGCCCAGCCTGGACTTGCTTCATTTTGGAAGATGAACTTTCTTACACATAAAAAGCTATAATATCCTGGGTACAAACACTTGAAAAATGAGTACGAGTGCCTCTTGAATTGCTACAGGATTGGTGTCCTGTTGTCTCCCTCTGTACCCCAGAAAAAAATAATAGAAAGCTTCTTTAGAATTTTAGACCTTTTTTCTTGTCACAGGTGTTAAAGGAATACTGAGCTCTTTGGCACTGAAAGAGATATATTCCGTAGCTTTAGAGATAGTTTCCTTCTAGAACCAGATTTTGAAGTAATGCCATGAAGTATTATTCAAGAAATCAATAAAATTGTAAGCGTGTTTTTAGCAGGCATTGTATTTAAGAAATTCTGCTTGCTTTGGATCCATTTCCAATTAAGCTATTTTGTACATGTAACATGGATGTATATATAACAAATAGCGTATGTAACAAACAGCATTTGGGTCCTCCGAGGATCCAGGAAGGCAATTGTTTTGCTTGTTTTCCTGAGGGCAGGGATTGGGGTCAAGTGCAGGGAATTTGCTAATGGCATGGTTCTCAGGTAACAGATTTTAATGGGGCTGGAATGCAGAGAGGTGCAGGACATGCCTGTCTGGAATAAAGTTTTTGGAAAGTGCTGACAAAAGGGAGCTTTTCCTAAGTGAGGAGACTTTTCCTGTCAAGCTCCTCGAAGGTCACTGGTACCTGCCCTGATGAAGTAGGGTAAATTTTGGTGTGCTTAGTAGGCTAGATTGCCATTGTTTACATTGCCTTCTGTGTAAATGCAAACTGTGCACAAGCTTCTTAAAGATTTGCTTTCATTGTTTACTCTGCAAAGAATAAGTACTTACCTACAGTGCAGTAAAGACATTAGCAGCATGGCTGCATTAAGACCCTCAATGTCCTGGTGGAAACTAAACACAGAAAAGTAAGGGCTCTGGAAGGGCGCCCTTCAGTGGGCACAGACATAATGGGTACATAATCACTCTAAGTGATGCAGTCAGTTTCTGCCTTCCATCTTCCTTCAGGTGTGTCTCCTCTTACAGGAGTAAGTGCATAGTTGCAGGTTGCTGCTTGCTTTGGATGAATCTGATATATATGCTGCTCAGGTTTTTTACCTTGCTCTCCTCCTTGGAAAACTTTTAGCTGGTCCTTTTTGGAAGAAGTTTCTTTTCCTCTCTGGCTGCAATTGCAGGCAAATAGGAAATCCATGCTTCGGTCTATATCAGTGGATATTTTTGGGTTGAGTGTTTGTAGCCAGTGGGTTGTGAACTCTCCATTTGAAAAAAATGTAAATCAGGACCATCTTACTGTTGCTAACGTGTGCTGTTAGTGTGATGGCAAGTTCTAATCTTTGCTTATCTTAAAGGACCCTTGTTAATATAGAAAATGTTCATAACTGGCAGAGCAAGCTGTCCCTCCTCAGTCTTTCCACTGCTTTGATGTTGAAAGTAGGTTTTACTATAGTGTAAACTGACAGGAACTGTGTTCTTTGTGGAATGATATTCCTGTAGATTTCTGCTTCCGCTTTATTCTACCTGCATGCACACATGCATATCAGCCTGATTTGGCTGGACTCCTCGGTGATGTGATGACCTCCGAATATTCACTTACTTGAATACCTTCTGGACAATGTAAGCTTCACATAGATAAGAAATTCCAGGGGAATACAGTGCTCTGTGAGCCTTCTGCTGTGTAATACAGAACAAAGATCTGAAGTAATCTTAAAAAAAAGGTGTAAAAGTATGCAATTTTCTCTTAATCAGAGGTAGTGAGACTTGCACGTCCAAAACAAAGACCAGCTAGCACCTTCACCCATGTATGCTATAGCTGAACTTCTTCCCATGCAGAGGAGGAATCATCTACCTAGAAATCTGTAACCAGTGAAAGCTGTCTTTTGAAGCAGCAGTACCAGGTAGCAACACTGATAGGACCTGAAGCAATATATGAACAACAAGAGCAATGGGAAGCATATACACTTCAGTACTTTGGATACTCAGGGCAATATGACAATATTTAACCCAGTGAACTATATTCATGGTTCCACAGCAGCCTTCTAAATGCTAGCGTAAGAATCCTGTGATGCTGGGTAGAGAAAACTAGCCTACCACTCATTTCTCATACACGGAAGTTTTCTCCAAAATAGGTACTTAATAGGAAAACACTTTCTTCAGCTGCATCTTGCCTCAAGAGGTCAGACCTTCTAAAAGACAGTCTTTCAAGGATTGTATGTTGATTTTTTAGTAATTCTGAACACACTGGTAATAGAGTTGCTGTTTTTCTATCTGGGTTGCCTAGAATACTTTCCATAATATACGGGCTTAGTCTTCGCAAAAATTCTGTGTCACAATACACAGTTTTCATGTTTTTCAGGATAAATTTGGTTTGCTTCATCTTGTTATCCCCAGGCTTATTAAAGGTGTGATTAATTTTAACATCCTCTTCTCTCCCATCCTGGCTTCCCCTTAAGTATTCCTAGTGGTGGGATCTAAAAGTTTAAGCTGATGGGCTGCCAGTAAGAGCATCTTGCCTAAGACTTGTGAATATCTGAGATGTTTTTTCCCAATGAGAGTGTTATCCATTTGAGGAATATCAGAGCTTAGTGTGCCAGTGGCCATGAATGATATCTACCTGGAGAATGGCAGAGCTCAGCTGATGGTAATTTTTACCTTGGTTTGGGTTTTGGGTTTTTTTTTGGTGGTGTTTTTGTTTCATTGTTTGTTTTGTGAGATTCTGGGCCAGGTGTTGTTCTCTCATCCTTTCTACTCAAAGGAGCTTGTTTTATCCAAAGCTGTGGAGGGCAGTGTTGTTGCTTGAGGGAGATCAAATGTCA